GTAACTCTAGCACCATCTTTAAATGTAGCCCTAACACTATCCAACCTGTAACCCTACTAATCATTCCCGTAACCCTCACACTAGTCCTACCAGTAACCATATCACTAGACCTCCCTGCAAGAACTAGCCTTAACCCTCCCTGTAACCTTACCACTATCTTTACTTGGAACCTTAGCACTAATGTTCCCTGTAACCCCAATCCTAAACCTTCTTATAATTAACTTTCACTCTAACCCCAACACTAACCCTTCTCGTAACTGTAAGCCTAACACTAAATATCCCTGTAACCTAAACAGTAACCCTCCCTATAACCCTAACCTTCCCCATAACCCTAACTTTCACTGTATCCCTAACCCTCCCTGTGACCTTAACACAAGCCTTCCCTGTAACCTTAACACAAGCCTTCCCTGTAACCATTACACTAACCCTTCCTGTAACCCCAACACTAACCCTCCCTGTAACCCCAACACTAACCCTCCCTGTAACCCCAACACTAACCCTCCCTGTAACCCCAACACTAACCCATCCTGTAACCCCAACACTAACCCTCCCTGTAATCCCAACACTAACCCTCCCTGTAACCCCAACACTAACCCTCCCTGTAACCCTAGCACTAATTCTCCATTTAACTCCAAAACTATTGCTCACTGTAATCCAGACACTAGCCCTCCCTGTAATGCTAACCCTCTTTGTAGCATTGCCCTCCATTTAACTCTAATGTATACCTCTACACTAATCATCCCGGTAACCCTCACACTGATCTTCCATGTAACCCTCATAATAACTCTTCATCTCTTACTGAACACAAAAAGGCTTTTTTCAAGGCTAAATGTAAACCCGAACAATGAACGTTCCTTATCTGCTTTCCTTTGGTCTGTTAATATACAATTGCGAGTATTTTGTTATATCTGTTCGATAAGTGCAAACCCCCCTCGCCCCCCAAAAAACATGTTCACCTTGCCCTGTGTCCTCTCTACACTTCCTGTGTTATCTGAAGGAGCCCCCCTAGTTACTGTCTTGGACTTCAGGAAACAACCCCAAAATCCTGTTGATCTTGTCCTGTGTCCTTTCCACACTTCCTGTGTTATAACAAGGAGCCCCTTTTGTTGCTATCTTAGACTTCAGAAAACAACTCGAAAAATCTGTCAATCGTGTCCTGTGTCCTCTCCACACTTCCTGTTTTATCTCAAAGAGCCCCCCTAGTTGTTATCTTGGACTTCACAATGATTAGCCTTTATGCTGTAGCGATCTGAGAGCGGGAGATGCACAGATGACCACTAGAGGAAGAATTTACACATATAAACATGACATATAATAATTACAATATGGAACAGTTAACAAGTCAACAGTTATATCTGCAATTACTTTCAGGAATAACATATTATGTTAACTCAAATCTTGCACATAAAATTAACTATATGGCCAAAGGTTTGTGGGCACCTATATAATCTGGTTGGACAACACATTCCAAAACCATGGGCATTAATATGAGGTTGCCCCCCTCCCCCTTTGTAGCTATAATGGCCACCAGTCTTCTTGGAAGGCTTTCCGCAATATTTTGGAGAGTGTCAGTGGGAATTTGTGCCCATTTAACAGAAAAGCATTTGCAAGGTCAGGTACTGGTGTTGTATGAGAAGACCTGGCTCACAATAGGTGCTCCAATTCATACCAAAGAAGTTCAGAAGGGTTGAGGTCAGGGATCTGTGAAGGCCACTCAAGTTCCTCCAAACAGATTAAACCATGTCTATATGGAGCTGGCTTTGTACACAGGAGAAAAGTCATGATGGAACAAAAAAGGACCTTCACCAAACTTACCACAAGGTTGGACGAGAACAATTGTCTAAAATGTCTTTGTTTGCTGTAGTATCCGCAGAAACATCTGAACTCTTGGAGGGGGGTCCATATAACTTTGGCCATATAGTATGTGTGATGGCCAGGTGTCCACAAACATCTGGTCACAGTGTAGAGATGTAAGCGACTCCTTGCTCACTTAATATTAGATATCGCTAGCTTACAGCCCTTCAGCACTTGTCATTAGGACAACGAATTAGCTAGAAGCCAACATCACAATGACAAATAGACATATCTGGATTTTACATGATGAAATGGCTCTTCAAGTCACTCGAGCTGGAAATGGCTGGTTACACAGCATGACCTTTGTGGTTTCCTGACATAATGAAATGTTGTCTTTTTAATAACCTCTCTTCTGACACTTCCATTCGTCCTTTTAAGACCACCCAATCTATTTTTAGCATTGGCAGGATGCAAGAAACTGCTTTTAATAGATTACAGTTTAATGCAAGGAGTAAAAAAAAAAGAAAAAGGAAATAAAAGAAGATAAAAATAGCGCTTGTGTGCTCTGTAGACGTCTGATATACAGCAAGAGTACCTAAAGGCCACAGTTATTATGTTTTATGGGATGCGGTCCAATATAGGCAATTATATTAATTAGATAAATGTATTAGGATTTCTGGAGGGGGTTCAATGTATTCTGCGTTCCAATTATCCTTTGATGGTCCAGATGTAAGAAAGCCGGAGGAAGCCAAGAGTGGCTCACATAATAGACTTGTTACAGCTTGGTCACTTAAAGAGGACTTGTCAGGCATTTTCAAAATCAAAGATCGGTCTAAGAGCATATACAAAAGCATGCCTTCTAGTGTGTGTGTGTGTGTGTGTGTGTGATGAGCCATTGCATTATGACCACTGAGAGGTGAAGTGAATAACATTGATTATCAGTTACAATGGCACCTGGAAGTTGGGGGGGTATATCATGCAGCAAGAGAACATTTTGCCCCTGAAGTTATTGTGTTGGAAGCAGAAAAAAATGGGAAAGGTGAAGGATTTCAGCGACTTTGACAAGGGCCAAACTGTCATGAATAGACGATTAGGTCAGAGCAACTCCAAAACTGCTTCTCTTGTGGGATGTTCCAGGTCTGCAGTGGTCAGGACCTACCAAAAGTGGTCCCAGGAAGGAAAACCTGTCAACTAGTAACAGGATCATGGATGGCTAAGGCTCATTGATGCACATGGGGAGCGGGGGCTGGCCTGTGTAGTCCGATCCAATAGAAGAGCTAATGTAGCTCAAATTGCTGAAAAAATGTGACACTGGTTCCAATAGAAAGGTGTCTGAACACAGAGCATCGCAGTTTGTTTTGTATGGGGCTGCATGACCGCAGAACAGTCAGGGTGTCCAAGCTGACCAGGGTCCACTGCCAAAAGCACCTACAATGGGCATTGTGAGCATCAGAACTGGCCCACAGAGCAATGGAAGAAGGTGGCCTGGTCTGATTAATCATGTTTTCTTTTACATTATTTGGATTGCCGGGTGCATATGTGTCGGTTACCTGGGGAAGAGATGGCACCAGGATGCACTATGGGAAGAAAGCAAACCGGCGGAGGCAGTGTGACACTTTGGGCAATGTTCTGCTGAGAAACCATTCATGTGGATGTTACTTTGACACGTATCACTGACCTAAACATTGTTATTGACTGAGTATACCCCTTCATGGAAATGATATTCCCTGATGACAGTGGCCTCCTTCAGCAGGATAATGTGCCCTGCCACACTGCAAAAATGGTTCAAGAATGGTTTGAGGAACACAACAATGAGTTCAAGGTGATGACTTTGCCTCCAAATTCTCCAGATCTCAATTCAATCGAGCAATAGGAGGAACTACTTAATATTAGACGGGTGGTCAAAATGTTATTGCTGATCGGTGTATATGTATCTGCCCTCTAGGTCAGTACTAAAAGATATGTTGGGCTGGTGGCTGCGAGTAAAAATATATAGATACTTGCTTCCTGTTTAAACCTGCAGTCGCAGTGACTGGCAGAAGGGAGTTTTCCAAGAGCAACTTCCTTTGCGGCAGTAGCGGTCATGTGAATGAATGTCAAAAGGAGCAAAGGAAGCTGTAGCAGGAAGGTGTGAATAGCTGTGTCACATATAAACCTTGTCCTTTACATTGTATTTACACCAATGCAAACCAGTAAAGTACGTTGTACACATTAGTGTGCTGTAGGGCCATGCATTCTGAATGGCACCCAAAGCACCTGTGTTGCAGTACTACTGTGCATCGTGGTGCACTTCTAGTCCAATGAATGGGCTTCCTTAAAGCAACACACATCAAAGGGTGATGACATGCATTAAATGTAACACAGAAATGTATATGGGCCCTTAGGAATACCCATCTTTTAACACGGCCCCCAGTCAATTAGGCACCATGGCACGCTTTCCACAGAAATATGTTCCTACAAAAAAAGGGCTAGTTGGTTGTGTGTGCCCCTTGGCCTCCCCTGATACAAAGATACAATATTCAGGGTATACCACAACCTACCAGTAACAGTGTCAATCCAATCAAATACATGTTTAAAGATACAATTGGCAGTTACCATTTCACAAAGTGTGTCCTTGCCCCGTAGTCCAGGACATATTGATATTATCAACCCTTTTTTAAAAAAAGGCAATACAAGTCCCACTCGAGAGTCTGAGTAATCATGAATGCAACAAAATGGAACAAAACACAGACATTTAGATCTAAGGCAAGCAGTACAACATAAATGGGTTTAAATTTAGCAGAACATTTCAATTTTTTAATGAAACCTTCTCAAAAGATATAATTTCCTTAAATGACCAGTGTGGTAGATAAAAATAGTGTCTTCTTATAACAGCATACCCTCCCAGCATTGGCAGTATGATGGACCTGGTCCAGGCACAGACATGATCTGTGCAGCTGCAGAAGGGGGGCTGGAACCTGAGGGCTCATTTTTATTAGATGTGAGTCATCCCTTCCACTGTTAGATAGGCTTGAACATTGTTAACCTCTATCTAGCTGTCAACTGCAGCACAGTGAATAAGTATTTTTAAATGGCAAGATATGCACAAAATAAATAGGTTCGCTCCTGTGCAGCCCCCTTTCTTCCAATCAGATTCTTAAAAGATCAGCATTGCCAGTTAGACATGAGCTAAGTGCCAATTACAAAAGGCGGCAAACCACCTAGACTTACCGCTGACATTCTCCAGCATGCAGGATGAGTTCCTCATTGTCCTTGGCGCTGATGGTCAGCTCATGTTCAGTGGAGTTGAACACGTCAAGGAGGAGATGGCACTGCCTTGTGCTAAAGGGAACAGGAAAAAAAAGTAAAAAGAGCTCAAATTAAAGAACTCACAGTCCTCTCTGCTCAATGTTTTGGAAATTGTATTGATCCTGTAAATGCTTATAAGTAGGGATGCCATCATTGGGCTGAACTAGCGGTGCATCGCTGCTTTCTCTCCTCCCCGCTGGGCGCTGCTCTGTGTCCCAGCGAGGAGGAGAGAAACTGTCACAGGAGGCCAAGCGGTGCTGGGGAGGAGAGCGCTGTGATCGGCCGGCATCTCTCCTCCCGCCCCGTTTAGCTTTCTGTGACAGATCAGGAGAGCGGCGGTGTGAGGGCGGGGACATCTGTCTGGTGTCACAGGAGGCCGGGCACCGCTCACTCAGCCTCCTGTGACAGATGATCCAGGATGGAGAGCGGGTACAAGCAGTCAGTGATCAGTGATCGCTGAGTGTTTGTACATAATTGAGGGCAAAGTATGGTTACTGTGTCCCAAATTGTGAATGAATGGGAAGTGATCTACGTCACTTCCTGTTCATTCATGATTGTGGACATGGTAAACGCACTATGTCCACAAGTTATGAATGAACAGGAACACTCAGTATAGAGGATTCCTGTTCATTTATAATAGGGGCTGCAGAAAAAGAGATTGAGGACTCAATACCTTTTTCTATTTTAAAAGGGAAATATCAGGGGTCTGTTACTTCCCCCCAAAGCCCCCAACAGCAAAGTAAAAAATAGAAAATATTTAATAAAAATTTGGTGCACCTCTACTTATAAGGTATATGTGCTGCATTTTTTAAGGAAACACACATGGTTGTAGTTCTCTAAGGCACAGCAAGCAAGAGGGGAAGTACACTATGTGTCAAAAAGTTTATATATTCCTGACCATCAAATCTATATGAGCTTGTTGGTCATCCCATTCCAAAACCATGCCCATTAACATGGAGTTGACCTCCTCTTTGTGACTATAACAGCCTCCACTCTTCTGGGAAGACTTTCTACAAGATTTTGGAGTGTGTCTGTGGTATTTTATGTCCAATCAGCTAATAAAGCATTTGAGAAGTCAGGTACTGAAATTAAACGATAAGACCTGGCTCACAATCAACATTTAAATTCATCCCAAAGAGCTCAGAGCTCTTTGCAGACCAGTTGAGTTCCTCCACACCAAACTCTTCAAACCATGTTTGGAGCTGGCAAGCTTTGTGAAAAGAGTCATGGTCATGCTGGAACAGGAAAGGACATTCCCCAAACTGTTGGCACAAGGTTGGAATTGCCCAATCATCTAAAAAAATGATGCTGTTGCATTACCAGTATCTTTTATTAGAATCCCCTGAACTTAATAGTTTGGAGGGATGTCCAGATACTTTTCGGCCACATACGTGTGATGGTCACGTGGCCACATACTTTTGGCTATTTTGTATACATCCAGATTTTGCTGATTGGTGGAGTGTCACATTAAGGTACACTTCATGTAAATTTGTAGTAGCGGTAATGTGACAATCAGTTCTCTTGGAACTGTTAACATCACTGAGGAATTCCCATTTATCGAGAATTACCGCTTTAAGCTAAACACAAGATTGCAGCTACAAAGGCAACGGTTCCTATAATTGAAGGTCAAGGGTCAAGTGAATTGTAATTTAACAATACAGCCATGTGGGATTTAGCCTTCTGGGTGTGGGATTATGACAGCAGAAAACTCAATTATCCCATAAACAATGTATTCAACAAAACATAGCATCGCATCGTGGACAAAATCACGTCCTGCTGCTTAATCCATGGCTGTCTACATGCTGTAATAGGACATTGGATCAAAAGAAAATGCTTGAGAGGGCATAAAGAACAATGTAGGCATCAGCATGATGATTACAAAGGGACACAAATCTATTGGGAACGTTTACCAAAACCAGCTACATGGTGATGTAGCTCGGGGCACAGATCTGGATTAGCTTTGTATGTAGTGGTCAGTACTTTAAAATGGATTTGTTGGGCAACCAGAAGAAAGTGGAGGGATTGGTAAAGAGAGATGACAAACACTAAGCGGCTGGCACGGTGGATGAGCCTGACAGATGTGTAGAGGCCAATGAGGAAGGAGATGCAATAGTCAGCAAATAGATAATGAGTGAGTGAATGAGTAGGTTGGTAGTGGCATCGGTGGCATATTTCAGAAATGTTACAGAGGTGAAAGCTGCAAGATTTGGGCAGCAATTGGATGTAGGGCTGAAAAGCTGCATTTAGAGCCCACAAATCTACCTAGCACCTTATAGATGTATATCTAAAGTGTGCGATCATCTAAGTTACTGCGGTCTCAACTGCAAGTCTCAGATTTGCAGTGAGATTTGGTGGCGTCATTACTGTGCTCTCATTGTTGGAGAGGAAGCTGCACTTGAGGCCCTGAAGTGCAAGGATCTCCCTGATTCTGCTTCATTCATTCTCTGGATCTGTGCTGCCTCCACCTTTCCTGCTGCTTCTTGAATATTCCCCCCTCCAGTCATCAGATCAACCAGTCATCAGGGGGCAGCTCTGACATGAGGAAGCAAAACTCTGCCTCTACTAAAAAGTCCAACCCCACACAAAGATGGAATGCAGAACAAGGCAATGGTAATTCAGTAATGGGGAAAAGATCACCTTCTGGGAGCCTATAGGGAATACAGATGAGTAGGCATTTGTCCTCTGTTTGCCTTTTTGGGTCACAGCTTCCACATCGCAGGTACTAATTAAAGTCCGACTGCAGCCAAACCTTTTTTCAGTCAAGGAATGGGGAAAGGTCATCCCGCCTATGTCATAGTTTTACTGCTGTATTTTCCCTACTATGGGACTATGGGGGATGAGCTGTTTGAGAAAGTAAAAGTTCAGTCGTTAGGTAGAGGTGGGATAGGCTTCTTGTTACAAAGACGGAGTGAGGGGGAATCTTAGCACCAAAGTCACAAAAAGGAAACAAAACACTTATTTTTCAGGAGGGGAACAATTAGAACTTTTTAGTTTTTTTTTATTGTGGTCTGTGACCACTTGGCCCCTTTCACATGGCCACTCTGATCGTGTCCACTGTCAGTTTTTTAAGGCGGACCCAATGTGTAAACGGACAACATGTGTAAACGGACGAGAGTCTGTTTACACCCGGTTACCCCCGGCTCTGGCTGGGTCTGAAAAAACAAACAGAACAGTGTTTCGTTTCTACAGACTGGATCGTGGGCAATCTAATGTAAACGGACCATTGTCCATTTACATCAGACTCCCCATAGACTGGCATTGGGTGTGGTAAATGCAGTTTTTTTTTTTTTCTTGCGATGGAGGAAAAACCTGTACTGACACGGATGTCACAGCGATGACATCTGATCCGTACTGCTGTGATCAGGAGATGATCCATGCACAGATCCTCTCCTGATCAGGCCTATCTGTGTCCTCTTTCTGGAAACCTCACTCATAATACTAGCAGTCAGTAGCAGTTGTGCCTAAAATGACTTCACAATGCAGATATACCATGGCTCTGGATATAAGAGTGCCTAGGCACTGGAAGTGAATGGCTATATTATACAAGAGAAAAGGTAAATCTTTCAGGGTACTGATTAGGCAAAACTGCGCATTTCTAGATGTTACATAGAAGTAGGGATGAGCTCAGACCTTTTAGACCTAAACCAGTCCGAACCTGAGCTCCCTCAAACCCAGAAGGAAGCTCCTTCTGCTGCCGCCAGGGAATTCCCTGCCGACAGCTGCACAGAAGCAAAGGTGTGGGATGCTGTGACATCATAGACCTTATATGGCCCCATGGATATTTTAGATCAATGGCATTGACCTATTATGGCCATGTGGACATAAGGTCAATGATGTCAGAACAAGCACCCCGCCCCTTTGTTTATGTGCAACGAGGGGAGGAATGCCCCGTGCCAAAGATGATTGAGCGGGTGGCCTCATGTCCCTTTTCTCTCCGTTCATTGAAGGACACAGGCAACAGATCGTAGATCCTGAATGGTAGGTAATATCGCCACCTGCAGGAGAAGGACGCTAGGCACAAAACTAAAGACCAATTACAGCCTAGGGGCGGCCCCTGCCGGTGGCCAAACCCCCCACCTGCTGACAAGTCTCCAGTTTAGTAACAAGCAGTTAGGAGTGTACACCCCATAAAGAGGGCGGGGCCTGTGTCCTTCAATGAACGGAGAGAAAAGGATTTTACGGTGAGTACAAAAATCCTATTTTCTCTCCCGTTCGTTGAAGGACACAGGCAACAGATCGTAGATCCTGAAAGGTAGGGACGTCACCAAGCAGTAACACACTGAGGGATTGGCAATAATAAAACACCCAAAAGACCCCTCAAAGCGCCACCTGCAACACTTTGCGCCCCAAACCAGCATCTGTCAATGCTAACACGTCCACATGCCGACACAACCTATGGCAGGAACGCCGGCAGAGGACGGAGAACCGCCTTGTCCCGATGCAAAACCAGCAATGGGGACTTGCAGGACAAGGCAGCCAACTCCGACACCCGCCGAACGGAAGTGATGGCCACCAAAAAGGCCACTTTCTGTGACAAAGATATAAGCGGAATCTCCTGAAGAGGCTCAAAAGGTGGCGAAGACCACTTAGACACAAAATCCTCCTCAAAAGGAATGCGAACCGAGAACCGTTTCGGAACCGCAGAGGACTTAGTAGGTCGTTCCCACCCCTCAGAAATGAAATCATCAAACAAAGGGGATGTAAGGAAACACCGTGACAGAACGCAGACACATATGCGGCCCAAACTGCACGTGCGACA